CTATTGGTTTTGCTCCATTCTTTAAGCTTTGTTTTCAACATCTTTAATTTTTCAGCCAGAATATATCCTGGTGTTCCATTCACATTGAAGGATTCCCACCACTCTATATAGCAAGATAACAACCTTCAGCTACTACAAGATCTTTATCAACCAATGAATGAGCCTACTTTACGCACTTCTGCACTAAGTAGACAAGGCTAACTACAAGCAACCAAGGCATCACCTGCACCCTCCAATCCAATGACTCTAGTTTCGAACTGTGCGCCAAGTCGACTCTAAGGAATTTCTCGATTATCACAATGTAGCATTTAAAGCTGTACTTCCAAATATATGGCAAAAAGTAGTGGGGACAAAAAGCATTCCAACATAACCATCTATCTACTTTATTACTGCAGAACATAATGGTTTTGGTGTCACCATATTGCAAAGGACTGAAAATGTTATTTACCAACTTGCCATCATGAAGTTTCAACTAACCTCAACATTAGACGTCACTATTTGCAAATATACACGGATGGGTAGGAAAGAAATGTAGCTCTCTCGGTACTATCTATATAAACGGAACTTTTCTCCCCAAAGCAGTAGCTGCCTAGCTGGGGACTTGGTAAACTCTGGTCGGGTTTCACATTTATTGTTCGCAGATGACACTTTAGTTTTCTGTGATTTTTATAGGTCTCATTAATTAATTGGAATACTTGGTATATGTATTAAACATGGTTTCAGGTGGTGTCAGACCCTAAGATCAACATTAGAAAGGGTGAGATCATACAAGTTGGAGATGTGGAGGATATTGAGATTCATGCACACGTTTTGAATTGTAAGGTTGGAACTCTCCCCACAACATACCTTGGTTCTCCATTAGGTGCTTTAAATAAAGACCAAGTTGCATGAAATTTGGCTATATTGCTTGGACTCTCCAAAACTGATGCCGCACCAGTGTCAGATTCTTCAAGAATATCGCAATTTTTTAAGAGTCCAAACAACATAGGAATTTGGTACTTCAGAGGGTTGAGAAAAGGATTGTAAGTTAGATGAAAAGATATTTATCCAAAGGAGGAAACAAAGTGCTTATTAAGAGTACACTATTGAGCATTCACACATACTTCATGTCTGGCTCCAGTCAATGTTACAGAAGAACTGAGAAGATTTCAAAGAAACTTCCAATTGGATTCGGCAAACGGGGCAAGGAAGCTTCACTTGGTGTGGTGGGACTTGGGAGACTTACAACTTCTATGTATTGGGGTGGCCTTGGGCTAAAGACTTCAAGGCTTTCAATACGACATTATTAGCTAAATAGTAATGGAGATTTTGGAATATGCTTCGTGGAGGGAGATGATAGTGGAAAAATATGAGGTCTTGGAAGGAGTTTTTGGAGGACTGAAAATATTAGTATGCCTTATAGATGCTGGTTGTGGAGGAATATTTTGAAGGGATGGAAAGTACATTGTTTTGTGTCTTTCAAGTAAGGGGGATGGGAGAAGATTAAACTTTGGGAGCAAAGGTGGGGTGAGGACAATACATTAAGACGTGCATTTCCAAACAAATTTAGAATGTCATGCAAAAAGGAGATGACAGTCCAACGTGTCCGGATGATACAAGATGGAGAAGTGTTTGGATTGAGGTTTATTACAAACTTTCATGACTAGAAAGTGGCAGAATTCCAAAATCTAATAGAGTTGTTTCACAATAAAGGAACTCGGAAGGATAACCATGATGTATGGAGGAGGGACCAGTGAATAGTGTGGTATTGTTAGTTATTAATCATTGTATGAGAAGCTTCTGGTTAGGGAGCAGTGTTTTCAAAGGCGCGGTTAAGCCCTGATGCGAGGCTCAAAGTGTGTTGAGCGCTTTGCCTCGTTTAATGTGCATTTCAGTGTTGTCATCAAGGTTCTAAGGCATACTTTTCCTTGCCAACGAACCTCTTATGAAGAGGCAACACTAAACAATTGATATTTCACCTTATCGTAATTATTTTTCAATTTCTTTGTTCATATATTTGTCATTCAAGGTTATATATTATTACTCTTGGACTTAACATATACATTTGTATTTTTTTCTCCCTTTGCACCTTTATTTATTAAAGCCCGTGCTTTATTTGCGCTTAAGGCCCCAATGGACCTTAGAGCTTTTGCGCTTTTTGCTTTCGATAACACTATTAGGGAGGAGGTCGCATGTCCACATAGTTTGCTTTGGACACCTAAGATATAGAGAAAAAATGTGATTTTTTTTTATGACAAGGGAAACCCACAGCCGCTACCCTTTGGGTGCGCAAATGTGATTCTTCACTTGACTAGCTTCAAGAGGAGCGATATTGATGGTCAAGAATCTAAGAGAAAGGTTACTTGCATTAGTTGATACTTCATGTATAAGGGCTCGAGTGAACATGTTGACTATCTACTCCTTCATTGTCCGGTAGCCTAGAGGTTATGGTGAGAATTTTTGTGTTGGTTTGGAATGACTTAGGTGGTGCTAGACACTATAAAGGATCTCATGCTCAATTATAATTGTGATAGGTGGAAGAGAAGATGTAGGGTTTGTGCACCCATGAGAATCTTTATGTATGGAAGATTGGGTGGTATCTTTCATTAGGTTTTGTCTATTTTTCGGTGTACTTCTTGTATATGGGTAATTTTGTGCCCAGACATTATCAATAAAATTATTACTTTATCAAAAGAACAACAATCAGGCCTTAATCCCAACTAATTGATATCATTTAATTGGATTATTTCTTTCATTATTCTGTTATAAACTAAATCAAGATTGATTGAGAATGTATGTTATTTGACACGACTTTCTAACCCATTCTACATCATCCCTTTCAACACCTTCACTCACGTTGCACCTATGGACTGTTGCATATAGAGTAATATAAAGACCTCCTCTTATTTTATCCTCCATGTATAATTCTTGCACACTCTTTTAGATGTGACTATTTAAATCTTGCCAGATTACTCAAATCTTTTATGACACAAATCTACATCCGCATATTTATAACATTCATGTTAGGAATATGTTGACCTTTAGAGGCCTAACATGCAGTCCAATATGACCTTGCTGGTCTCACAGCCATTTTATAGACTTCCTTTTAACTTTGTTAGGTATCTTATCACATAACATTTCTTCATTTCCATCATTGCAACTAAATGTTGCATGTTACATCTTCATATATTATGCCATTCTCCTAAAATACTGAGACTCAATATCTGAATAGTTTGTATTTAGGAACCATACTTCCATCTAATCTCATTCATTTGAGACTTGATATCTAACAAATTATTAATCCTTTGTCTTCAAGCACCCTGAGCCACATTTTATTTCTCTAACATCTGAAAATTTATATTTCCGCCAGACTATTAGTCGCTAGAGACTAATATTTAAATGTGTTTAGATATTCGACTACATGTGCATATTTTGTTGTTCAGGTTAAAATTTCCACAATTATAGTAAAAAATCACTATTTTCTCATGTTGAATCAGGTAGGAATATATAACCCTTTTAGTACTGAAATCCTATTATACAGATAACCAAATATGAGCACAAGAAGTTTTTTTTTTTTGATGAAGTAATTAGTTCTATTGCAGGCATCAAGTAGATGCATAATAGTTACAAAAGCTTAGTAGCAAAAGGTCAGCTCTCCTTTACATTGTTAATCAAGAGTCAGGGAGTTGACAAAGTTCAGAAATGAATCAGGGGAATCTAGAGGGGATAAATAAACCCAACTATACAAAAACATGAGGCAGTTAGCAATTGGTTTGATGTAGAGGGACTCCGATTACAAGGATATTCAACTCTGGAGAGCCTTAACAATTTGGAGGTAGGAGAACATTAAACAGCTTCTAATCCTACTCTACAGTCAGAAGGGGTGTTGTGCAGAATGATTCTTTGATTTGTAGAACAGAAAGGCACAGGTAATTCTCAGCTGTGTCAATCACGAAAGCCGAAGCCTTTTTTATAAAGGAGTAAAAGGAATTTTCAGCTGCTGATATTTTGCTACTACAGTGCCCACAAGAATTTCCGTTTTGCACCTTTTTCCTTTGTTGTGTGTACGCACTCAGCTCCCATGAAGAGCATTCTTACTGCTGAGGAATTGAAGAAAAGAACGATAGTGGTACCAGGTGGCAATTCTTCATTCATAAAGAAAAAGGGGGAAATGTGGGCCTTATGCTTTTGCATTGCATCAGAAATGTGGAACCTAACGCTTCACACCAAGAGCTAGCTGGTTCATGAGGAAAATGAAGGGGGGAAAAGAGAGAGAGAGACAATGTACTTCGTGAATAAATTTGCCTAGAGCACAAATGAATTCATAAAATGAGAAAACAAAGCTTTATCGTCACTCTTAACCAAACAATATGAAGTGTAAAATTAAGCTCATACCGGTTTAGACCATTGAATCTCAAGCTCCCACAGTTTCAAAAAAGAAATATTTCTAAATACAAGTCTATGCAAAATCAGTATTACTAAAAAGAAAAAAGAGAGATAAATCATTATGTGAAACTAGACTTGTATACAATAATGAATAAATCATCAGATGGATATGTCAGCTCGCAAGGAAAATAAACCAATCATATTGATTAGATAATCATCTGTAGACTTCAACCAAGCTAAAATTGGCTTGGTATACTAGGTCCAAAAGTTAAAAATCAGCAAAAAGACATCTTGCTGGCACCTTGACTCTCATACAATATCCAGAATATAACTGGGCAATAGCCTATAACATAAATCTGCTCAAAATTCATTTACAAATTCTAACAAATATAAGAAACTCAAGCTCGAAAGTTTTAACATATCGTTCAGCAGACACTATTTTTCCAGCTCATTCTAGTGGTAGCAGTTGAAAAAGGAACAAGATATTTCTTCCAGCTTACTAATAATAAGCCTATAATCCTGAAGCTTAGCATATCTAAAATATTCATTCATCTCAAATAATCAATTGAGGATTCCATAACTATTTACATCTAGGTCAATTTCAGAATATATGTATATCCACCATGACAGTATAAAAACCTTGGATCCATCTCTGTGATGGATCAAGGCATAGGAAATAAGATTTAAGAACAAAAGTAGTAAAAGTCATCATACCCTAGCGGAAATGGTGGGGGTGGGGTGAACATGATCGTCGGAGATGACAACATAATCGGCCAAAACGACGACGTTGTTATGGAGTTCTTCGGAAACGCACTTGGTACCGGTCGGCGGCAGACTCAACCATATTGCTTCACCCTTGTGCAATAAACACAGAACCATCAACGGCACCGCAAAATACATAAATCTTGGCACGTTGCCACTGTCCCCCATCATTTCCTTACTTGTCTTTCACAATAACTCTAGCTCTTGATTCTCTATTCTATAATACACTCTCCGATCTTTGCTTACCTGGGCCTGGGGGCGATGTAATTCTATTGCTGTCATTCCGACCCTACACCTGGATATGGTCCATTTGCACAAATAGCCTTTTTTTCTTTTTCTTTTTTGAAATGTTTTTTCCATGATTTTTAATAGTTTTTTACAAATATAGTTAAGAACCAATTTGGGTTAGATGATTAAAAGTAACCATCTCAACCTCGTGTTTTGTATCTTGTCCTCCATTGTAGCCACTCTCACATTGTCTCTCATGTCCTCATTCCTACTCATATTTCTCCTAGTACGTCCATACATTCATCAAAACTTCCTTATTTCAACAATTTTCCTTTTCTGAACTAGAAATAACAGCAAATCCTTTTTTCAATGATATTCCACGATCAAAATAGTCGGTCGAATTCCGTGAAACTATGTCATAGAAGTTCATTGATATCTTCTTTTTATAAAACAAATCGACTTTGATTCTTGAATAACCCACATCACTTTGCTTTTGTTGGAACACAAGATTCCTCTTTTATGTGGAAAAGGCAGTATCAATAATTTTAGCTTCAAGAGAACAACAACCATCCATTGCGAGAGTCGAGAGAGATATTAATTTTAAATATGTTGTTTTATGTCACTCGATGACTTGATTGAGACATTCTTGTTTTAATACGTGAAGATGGTGATGAATCATTCTCATATATTGCCAGAATCTTTTCGATTGTTCTCTAGTTACACTAGATTTGGATAAAAGAATGGGGTCAGTGATACAAGAGCATTTTTCAAGTGAGAGTTTTTTACTAGTCAACACTTCACCTTATAATACATAGTTGGTCTAACTACCACGGAGTAAAATTAAGTTTTGGTGGCACCTTCCTATCACACAAGACTCTAGATGTGAGCCTTTATTTCATCTATTCAACACCAATATGGTGGGTGACATCCTTGTTAATCACCCCAGTTTACTTTGATAATAGATTCAAGATACTTGAACCCTTTAGCCTCAAGGTTTGCCTCCAAACCTCCAACTTAACATTTACTTCATCAAGAGTCTCGTCAATAAGAGTTATGTCATCCACAAATAACATATGTCATGGCATCCATCATTAAAGTAAATAAAAATGGTCTAACATTTGATTCCCAATGCAACCCCATGAAAACTAATAAGCGCTCCGAGTCTCTTCCCAAAATCCTTATCCGAGTCTTGACACCCTCATACATATCGTTGATCACCTTAGAGTATGCCACATATACACATCTAGCCTCTAAACATCTGCATAAAACCTCTTTCAGGACTTTGTCGTAATCCTTTTACGTATCATGAACACCATTGATAACGTTTAACTACACATGTAAATTCAATGCCTAGACGATCATTTGCAATATATAACCGAGCGAAGAGTTGGGGTCGATCCCACAGGGATGAATAAATACATTTCACCTTAAAATGTATTTTATCTTACTAGAAATTCATACGCTGATATAATTTATGCATGTAAGTGAAGTAGGAGGGGGGGTTGAGTAGCAATTCGAACACAAGATCTGAACGCTTAGTTTATCACAAGAAGTTTACAATTATAAATCTTAAAATATGGGTTTATCACAAGTAATTGGAGACTTTTAGAAGTGTACTAGTATGGGCTATAATGTTGCAACTTGGACATTACTAATTTCTAAATTGAGTTTAATATCAATGGGTAAGCTAGATCATAGGTAATGAAAACCATTTATCAATCAACTATCACAAATCATGTGGAATCTATCAAACCCCAACATGTAATACACTACAATCAATCTAAGACTTTAATTCAACCAAACTATTTCAAGATTCGCCTGTCAAATGAATTAAATCGAGTCATTATTTGTAACATCCCGCTTTAGAAAGAGCTAAATTTAGAAAGCGCTAAATTGGAAATAGCTAAATCTGAAATTTTGCAAGTTATGCTTACGTTGTGAGTTTTGGGTCAACTTCAAATGACCATAACTTTCAGTACAGGATGAGTTAGGTGGCCCATAAGATATCAAATGAAAGGTCTTGGAATCCTCTTTCCAATGCCACCGAGTTTTCTTAATTTTGAGCTCGTATGCAAGAGATATACCCATTTGAAGTCAGGCTGGCCAGTTAAGGAAAGTTACCCAAAAAATATGAGGGGTATTTTTGTCTTTTCCTTACCCATTTAGATTAATTCGTTTTTAGTAAGGTTTTAGGGGTCTAAACTGATTTGGTTCACTTTTACAATCCTAATCTACGCTTAGGGTTTTAGAAGAAAGTTCAAGAAGAGAAAAGAGGAGAAAGGAGGGAAGATTGAAGGCATTCATCAAATTCTTGAAAGTTTTGTTGCGGAATTTCGCCAAGGGTTTGATCCCTAAGAGGTATGTGAGTTCTCATAGTGTTGGGTTCGTTCACCCACACACCAATCATGTTATTTTAGCGCAATTTCGTTCTCAAATATGAAGGATTTGAGTTCTTGAAGTTTTGCTTTCGTTCTTGAATTAGGATGTGTTTGATGAGTTCTTGAGATAATCGTATCGAGTTTGTGAGTCATTTTTTAGTAGATTCTTGTGTCCTTGTATTAGGTAATTGAATATAAGGAAAATTCGAGAAAAGAAATCAATTCAAAGTGTTTTAGGATCAGAAAACGAGAAGAAAAAATTATCGGATAGTTCTGGGGGAGGGGTGGGACGGCGCCCCAACAATGCGCCAAAAAGTGTTCTCTGAAGTTTATGCGTTGGCTCCCCGTGCCAGGGTCGCCTGCCCCCACCCTTTTTCCATCGTTTACTCTGTTTAAGTTGTTTTAAGTTATACCCTTGATCCCTACTTATTCTAATCACTCCAAACTACTTCTAAACATCTAGAAATTATTCATAATATGGATCATAACCTTGAATTCATAATTCAAATTCAAGGTAGAGCTAAGAGTCAAGTCTTGAGAGTTCTTTTGAGTCTTTGAGAAGTCTTTTTCAATCCGTTTTAAACTTGTGTTACGACTTGAGCATTTGAGTTTGAGGAAGAGTAGAGTAGCATTCATTTTCTTTAAACTGATATATGGGAACTAAGTATTCCCAAGAGTAAATGTTTTTACATTTAAGCAGAGAGGAAGCACCAATTTCCAAAAGAGTTCATGAGAAGTTTTAGTACTATCTCTTTTAAGAGAAAATCTTTTGACTAATGATCTCAAAGTTGAGGAAGAGGAAATGTTTTTATTTAAAAACATATGAGCTAAGTTATATTTTTGGGAGTAGTATTGAGCACCGATATAAGGGAGGGTTCTAACAACTCACAGCCCCTATAAACCATGTAGCTAACGTGGGTAGAAAGGGTCATACTTTTTAAATGATTCCTTTATTTGTTTTTAGTATAGACTAGTGGATCCACTTGGTTGAGGAGTTCTTTATCCCGACAAGGTATAGGACAGTTCTGGCAGTGTGAGCTAGACTATGTATCATCACATAGCTCATAGTGATGGTTGTCGGTTAGAGAATCTCCCAAGAAGAGTTTATTTTGTAATTTTGCATACAAACTGAGTTATATTGTATTTTTCAATACATTGAGTTGTTATCTATTGTCTTAAAAGCTTTTCTTTATATCGCATTATCATTATTGCTTTTATATTAAAAACATTTGAGTTGAGTTGAGTTGAGACGAGGTAAGTTGTTTCTTCAGTGCCAGTTCAAGCTTATGTCATATTTTAGATATCCCCTCACATGCTCGTATATTCCATGTACTGACGTCATTTGGCCTGCATTTTTTATGATGCAGATACATGTAGCTAGGATCAACATCTAGCGCTTCGTTGATCCAGTTGAGTTCAAGAGTTGTTGGTGAGCCTCCTTGTTTCTGGAGGATCCCTTATTTACTTTCAGTTACTTCAGTTGTTAGGATGATCGGGGGTCTTGTCCTGACATCCCTCATAGTATTAGAGGCTTCATAGATATATAGACAGTAGTTCATGAATCTTGTTCATTCCAGTTTTTATGTTCTAAAACTTGAGTTCCCTATTTGGCCAGTTGAATGTTTCTTTTAAAACATTATGAGTTTATTATCTGAGGTTATCTTTTGAGATAGTTGAGTAAAGTTGTTCTTTTGAGTTCATATTATTTATGAGTAAGCCTTCCACTATGAGTTAAGCCAGACCAAGGATTTTTTTGGGGCCAGCAATGGTTCTCGAGTGCCGGCCACATCCATGGTGTAGACTCAAGGTGTGACAAACTTGGTTTCAGAGCACAAATTTCAAGAGTTCCAGGGTGTTTATGAAACAGTGTCTGTTGAGTCTTAGTTATCAGTGTGAAGCGCGCCACATCTATAATTAGAAGGTTGCAACATTTAGGAACTATCTCACTTCTTTCATACTCTTTTCGTGCGATAAAGTTCATCTCTATAAAGTTTCCTTCTAATTCGTGTCTGCGCGTATCTTTCAGATCATGCCTCCAAGAAGAGCTGTCCAAGGTCGTCCTGCTAGGAGAAATGTTGATCCACATGATCAAGGGGTACCAGTGCACCAGAAGTGCAACCCCAATGAAAGGTCACTAATGCTGAGTTCTAGGAAGCTGTGTGGATGTTGAGCCAAGTTGTGACCAACCAAGCTGGGCAACAAAGAGAGAGTCAACATGATGTGGCAGATACGTCAAGGATCCATGAGTTCTTAAGGATGAATCCTCCCAACTTCACCGGTTCAAGTGTCACTGAGGATCCAGAGAACTTTATGGAAGAACTAGAGAAGGTTTTTGAGGTTATGGATGTTGTTGATGCTGAGTGAGTGGAACTAGCTACATACCAATTGAAGGGTTACTAGAGTTTGATTCGATCAATGGAAAAAGAGTAGAGCTGAGGGTGCACCGATTGTGAGTTGGGCTATGTTTGAGGGTGCCTTCATGGGGCATTTATTTCCCCTTGAACTAAGAGAGGCAAAGGTAATAGAGTTCCTCACACTTAAGCAGGAATCATGAATGTGCATGAGTACAACCTCAAGTTCAGCCAACTTTCCCGCTATGCTCCGGAGATGGTTGTTGATATGAGGAGCAGAGTGAGTTTGTTTGTTTCCGGGTTGTCTCTTCTGTCAAGCAAAGAAAGCAAAAGGGACCTGCTCCATCATCTTCTAGTGCACCTAC